CAAGGACAAGTGCAAACCTACACTTCCGACTCGCAACGCCATCCTCGCAGGTTGCTGTAGAATGTTGTGGCGACCTGGTCTTTTAGACAGGTACAAGCAAATTTACCTTTGAAGGCCATACATTGATTCTAGCCGAGGTTCAAGGCAGGAAAAGGAGTTGTGTTTTGGATCCAGATTTCACAACGTAACGTGCAGTCATGACCGTGACTGCTTGCCGCTGCTGTCTGCGTTGCGATTAAAGATTTTACTAGTATGCAATTTAACGCGCCACGTGAGAAGTGCGCCAGAGATGCTACATAGCCGATCTCTTCAGCTTCGACGGGAGGACTTCAATCTCCCCTGCCTGTCCTTGCAATGTGCGCAATGCTTGGCCCAGTCCTGACACGCTGAACAAGGCTGATTCCCAGATCAGTCTGTCTTGGCATCTGTGCAGCTCTTAGGGAATGGGAAGAAACCATATGCCGCTGGTGTCTGCTTCTAGAACTGCCAGGAGTCTGCAAGCAGCTTGGCTCATGCTCATGGGTTGCTTGTGCAACACGCATGCCACCTCGGGCACCTCGGGCACCTGCGCTGCTTGCTTTGCTTTGCTGCTTTCTTTCACACAGACGCCCTGCCTCAAAAGCTCACCGATGGCAGAGTGCAGGACAGGTCCATCATGCCGTCTAAAGCAGGGTTGCCTCATCCTAGTAGCATGCAGCATGCTGCTCACAGGCAAGTCTGTGTCACCATTTTGTGATGTCAGCTAGCGCTACGCGTAAAGCCTGTCAATAGATGGTGAGCACTGTCTGCATCCTTCGTGCAAGCAGCAGAAGACTTTTTGGGCGGATTCAGATGGACAAGGGATCTCCGGATATTGTGTCCTTCTGTTCATGCCCTGGGAAGCCAAACTTCTTCACTGCGATGCCTGCAAGTGCCTGCAAGTAAGGGTTCAGCACGGAGGCCGCTTGCGGATGCTTGCAATGACCTGCTGAGTGTGGTCGACCATGGCCTGATGGCGCGTGCAAGGCCTGTGCAGCTTTGAGAGCTGAAAGGTTGCAACTGAACACTCAGGCCTCGCCACGCCTGGCAAGCTGGCACGCGCCCGATGTACACAGCAGTGCCAAGCTGCAGTCCAGTCTGCTCTACTGTCCAGTTGCGTGTCTAGGTTCCTGCTTGCGAGTTCTGGGTGGGCTTGCCAGCGCCTACGCAGTCCTGCCACATGCACAGTTGCCAGCGGCAGGTCTCTGATGAACACTTACTCTGAAGGCAACATGCCAGTCTGATGTGCAGGGTTCGAGTGCTGCTTAGATCGATTGGCCAAGGGAGAGCGTTCGCGATTTCGCGGTGCAGCTTCCAAGTACGGAGGCTTAAGACTCGCAATGCGGCGAAGGGGTATTAACCTGACTAGCATCAGAACTGACAACTCGCACAGCCAGGCACGCCTGCGCAACTCGCATAGCCAGGCACGCCTCTGCAACTGCTCGCGTCAGGCGTTTGCCTACGAGCACTGCGGTTTGCGGATGATTGCAATCGCCTCTTGAGTGTGGTCGACCATGGCCTGGCGCGGGCTTTGAGGCCTGGCTTTGTCAAAGGAAGCACACCCGTCCTTAGGTTACGCTTCCCAGCGAATTCTTTTGGCTTCACGGGTGGCAAGAACATGCAACAGCCAGAGTGGGCCGCTGAGCAGAAAGCATCGTGCTACAACACACACCTAGCCTCCTTTGCTCAAACCTTCCAGTATGGACCGTCGCGCGCAATGCAAGGTAGCTTGACACGCCAGCTGATACGCCGCCCAAAGTGCAGCAGGCTGCTACAGCGTAACGGCACTGTCCACAGCGTAGCTGGGGCACCAAGACGGGCAGATCGGGCTATCCTCTGCGCAAGGGCTGAACCACCTCCGTGTCAACGGCATGTCAACGGCAAGTCGGTGATGATGGTCACGGCACCTGTGGCGTAGCGGTGACCATGTAGCACGCCCAGCCCCCTCTCTCTTTCGCGGCAACCGCGCAGTGCCCAGGCCAAGGTGGATCCAGTGATTTCCGGCCACACAGCCACAAAGAAATCTCGTAAAGAGAAAGAGTCCTATGACTGTTCCAGAGCCTCCCATGACTACAGCTCTTTTGACACTCCCCTGGCCCAAAGAATGCAGCAGTCTTCGTTTGGGTCAGGTGTGGCTGTGTTCCGTTCGCGGTGCGGGCTCGTCTCGTGCTCCAGTTCTGCCGTTCTTCAAGCAAAAAGTGTGTCGTTGAGCAGACGGAGTGACTTGTGCATGTTGAAGCAACGATGAACATTGCAGTTCAATGACCATGCGTTGGACGCAGCCTGGCTCAGCGCGGTGTGGGCTTAACGGATCTCAAAATTCAGCTCAGCCAGCGGCCGGATGCTGGCTGGGCACAACTTTGTGCACAGTTTGCGGTCTTAGGCCCTTGATGCTTGCTTCCTGCTCGCTGGGCCAGCTGAAGAGAAGTAGCTTGTGATAAAGGTGCTCAGGAATGCTGAGTTGCGCTAGTAGCCGGTCACGACCAACCCGCATTCAATGTGACACGCTTTCGCCACCCCTGCGGCGCGAAACATTCTCAGGTAGCTCACGCTCAAGACGGGGGTGGCTACGACTGTTCCAGAGCCTCCCATGACTACAGCTCATTTGACACTCCCCTGGCCCAAGGCATGTTGCAGCCTTTGTTTGGGTCGGGTGTGGCAGTAGTGCATTCGGGGTTCGGACTGGCCTCGAGCTGTTTGGGCGTTCTTCAAGTAGGATTTGCATCATATGTACCTTGCCGTCCTGCCGTTTCTTTTGCTGTCCAATTGGTGCCGACAGTTCAAAAGCTGAAAGGTTATCAGAATGCCTGCGGACTCAATGCCCAAACAGCTGACTTCTTTCCATTTCTTAGTCTCTGACCTGCGCTAGCTCTCAGTCACTGAGCCGGCAGCGCCGCTGCCGGCGAGGGTGCAGGAGGATCTCACGGACATGTGCAGCAGCAGATGGCAATCAACTTGTAAGCTAGAGAATTTGTAAGCTGTACGGCTGTGTGCTCTGTTGAGTCTTTTCTGATCTCAAGGGAGGCTCTGGACTGGGTCTGTAACTGGCTTGGGAACTCGGCCCCTTTGAAAAGGCATCCCCGTGATCAAGGGCTCCCAAGCATGTGTGCGCTCCTGCTGCGTTTCTTCATGTGAGATCCTGATCAAAACGGCCCCCAGCCCACCCCAGCAGAAGAACACCTTTCGTTTCTGTCGCCTGCAGGGCACCTCAACACAGCTCAAGCTGTGGCACCTTACAGTAACTGCCAAGGAGGAATTCCAGGACATGGCGTCGAAATCTGAGAAAGATTCCGTGTGGCGGCGCGATTGCGTGCCCAAGAGTAAGCGGGGGAAAAGGACCTAAACAGGATTCCCTTGTGCCTGACCGGAGTCAACCGGTCGACCATTGGCAAAACAACGGAAGGGCATGCTGGGGCGACGCCTCAATCGAGACGTGGCTCTGCACGAACGCCGTTGTACAGCAAGAGCGCATGAAAAGCGAAGTGTTCCGGGTACCCATAAAGCGGCTGAGTGATCCACATATGCGCCTGCACTCCACGCTAGCATCTCACTCCCAGTCAAAGATAGTCAAAGTAAGTTTAGGAAACACGGTCGAACGCTGCGAACCAGTCTTGAGAAGGATCTTCAATATATTCAAGACATTATGTAGGCGCGGGTGATCGGTGGGGCACTCAATACACTTATGCCCCCACGGCCCTTCTCCTCCTGTCCACTCTTCTCCCCTTTGCTCAACTCCGCTCCGCTGTTACAACAAGGCGCTTCAGCGTCGCCGCTTCAAAGACAAGGCTCCTGACTACGAAGGCATTCTGCTCTACTGGCTGATGCCTGCAAAGGTTGGCTTGCTGAAGCCTCCAAGCCTCCAAGGTGCCTTGATCTTGTCCTTGGCTGGCCACACTGGCCAGATCCTGCGGAGGATGACAAGTCTGGATGCCGGACTGCACGTGCTGTGAGCACAGAACACTCCTCGAGTCTCTGACGGCGCGCAAAAGCTGGGGAGCTGCTGCTTCGTGGAAGCGGACCGTAGGTTTGCATGTGGGTATGGGATACCCAACTGGAGAATAGCACAAGTGTTTTAGTGTTGGAAGAAGAGCCCGGTTCTTTTTGCAGGCATGTATGCATTTTCTATCCTGGGCTGTGGAGGGATCCTTGTGGGAGTTCATCGAGTCCTCTTTTGCCTCTTGGCTGTTTCCCTCTTTCCCTCTTGCTTGCTTCTCTTGGCTGTGAGAGGCGCGCAAGGAATGCATGCAGGTTCCCAACGCATCACCCACATACGGGGTGACAGCAGAATGAGAGGCGAACACAACTTAAAGCCCAGAACGGCACCCTGCTTCAAAATCCAAAATACGAGGATGTCCAGAATTGTTCAACATCAACGTTCTACCTGTGATATATGTAAATATGCATGCAAGAGTGCACACATGCCTTTGGAGCGTCTCAAACTAGCCTATTCCTAGCTTCTTCTCAGCTCCTGCATACCGTATCCTCTTGAAAGATGATAAGTATAGGGTAGGAGAGCAATTACCACGCCATGATGTAGGGATGAGGCCATGTATGTTTTTTGCATCATGAACTCCGCAGCCGTTCAGCGCAGCAGTGGCAATTCGACCAAACAGATGCATTCGCGCCGTGTGTCAACTCAAGCTTCTTCACTGTAAAAAGCTCCGGGCGCACAGCATCCAATAAGGGAACATAAAGGCACGCAAGGCTCACGCAAGGCTGGCCAGGTGAGAGTTGTCACCTTGCCAGAAGGGTATGCAGGGCCATGGCTCTTGGACGGAGGTGGAGAATATGTGCCTCCCTGCGTTGCAAGCGAAGAGTGGCCAGATTTCCCGCGTGGAGCGCAAAAGGATCTACCCTAGCCCGGACGTTCGACCTCGAGGCAGGCAGCTTAATTAACATGAGAACATCTCTTGCTTCCGATCTGGGCTTGCAGGCTCCGTTTCGGGCTTGGGGGACGATGCGTACGCTTGGCAATTTCACGCTGCGGCTGGTTCCCACACAGGAGCGCGCGGCAACGAGTCCTTGAAGGTTTATTCGTCAGAAGAACGCAACAAACTTTACGAGACTTGGAGTCAACTTGTTGTGCTACGGTGCCTTTTGGCAAGCTAGCCAGCTAAGTTGGGACTTGCTTTTTTGCACTTTTGCATAAAGGGCCTTGGGCCGATTCAAAGTGTAGATGCATGTCGTTTCACCATTCTGTCATGGCTGACGTGGACTGCAAATCGTCGAAGCAAGAAGGGCCATCTTTGTTGTTCTTCCCTTCTTCTCCGAGGACGGCTTGGCCGGGCGGCCGCGCGTGGAGGCTGCGCCACGGCCGTATGACACTCCTCGCCGGCGCTTCCCTGGAGCTAACGTCTCACAAGTGGATGGGTCACATGGTTAAAGAGGGTTTGTGGCCGGCTTGAAACTAGGGAAAGCTGCGTGCTGGAGCAGATTTGAGGCTTCTTCGCGATGACCGAACTCCCCTCGCGTCCGAGCACCCATCACAGTACGGGGAGCTTTACACTGGAGCAGCTGGCGTTCATGGCCACTGGCTACTGAAACCGAAAGTGGAAGACGTCCAGAAATGCTTCTTGAAAGGATACAAAAGGAAACTGACCGTGGCTGATGTTCTTTAGACACGGTCATTTGGTACTTTTGGCTGCTGAGGCCCTGGTGGAACTGCTGGAGCTGGCCCTTCGCAGGTGGACGAGATTGTTCTCGGCCGTGACCTTGATGGTTCCTCTGGCACAGCACTCAAGCAGCTGCTTTTGGAAGGGGCCGCTGGTTGCAAGAGCATTGGGGTGGCCCCGAAGTTCGCAGGCAAGCGGTGTGTTCCTGGAGGCGATTCGCAGGTGGACGAGCTAATCTGGGGCACGGACGTTGACGGCTCGTCGGACCCAGCCCTGCAGAAGGCCAAGGACCAGCTCTTCCAAGGGGCTGCCGGTTCCAAGGGGCCACCCCAACTTCAGGGAGGCACGGAAGCACGGATAAGCATTCACAATCGCATTGTGGACACAGCCTATGAAATTCTCCCGAGGCCGACGACACCTGGAGGCTGAGAGTGGGCGAACACCACGACCAGAAGGTCGACGGCACCATGCAGGACAAATCTACAAAAGCTGCGGCTATACGGACTGTGCGATTGTTTAGCCCTGCCATGCAGGACCTGCAGATCGAGTCGCTTGGTTGCTGGGTGTCTTGGCAATCATGAAGCTTGTTTTGACACAAGCTGCAAACCGCATTCCTTTTCCAGCAAAATCGAGGAAAGCCGGGTGCTGTGGACAGCCCGTGCTATCTTCAGATTTCTGCGCCATGCAGCTGTTGTTTTGAAATGGCTTTTTGTCATGGGACGTATCAAGCTTGAGGACCGAGTCTCAAGGGCTGATGCGTAGCGCACGCCGCCACATCCCTGCCGCAGTCTCGTGTTGCCGCTCGCAGCTGAGCTGGGCAATCTGTCCTCGGCTTCAGGCTGGCGCAGCGTCGCGTGTGGATGATATTGTCCTGG